TCGACCGACATATTGCATCGATGACAATTGTCTCATTATGAACTGATATAAGCACTTCTAATTTTTACCCCTAAAATACTGGAACCAGCTGTAATTGTACAAAGTATCCAGCAGAGAGCAGGAAGACTACTTTCACATCATGGCCGTTCACTTAAGTTTCACTTTCACATTCAGCGCAGTCTAAGCTGGGAGCAACACTGTGTAGCGTATTTTGCTGAACAGAGCATGATAAGTTTATTTTAACTGATCTGTAAAACAAATTAACAATAAATTCTCTTCAATCCTCCAACGTGCTTGTTATTATCTACGTGCCTCTCAAGTTAGCAAGCTAACGTTTAGCTAACCTAGCATAGGCTATTGCCTGTAAAACTTTATCCAGAACAATAAATCTAATGTAGAGGTAAAATATATCAGTATTAGTAACATTATCTTTGTCGTCCGCAATTAAATGTAATGTCTGAAATCTTCACTTCTCTACAAAGAAAAATAAACTCTGCTGTGGTCAGTACTAATTAGACCTTCACCGTACATGACTGACTGTTGAAACAACAAACAGGGCAGGATGTTTCTTTGTTTCATTTATATTTTGTAACACACTTGATAACTTAGGATAGAAAATGTGAACGCATGTTAGGAAGACTGTTTTTATGACCAGTGCTCCACTTGTAAACCTACCAACCAAAATCTTTAGGAGAATATTCTGTGGACTGACGAGACCAACGTTTTGGTGTGAAACTAGCAACATGTCTCATATTAACATTTATTTAAGGACCTGAACCTGAGAGACGAACGGACCCAGTCTGTGTGGGGTGGGGGTGTACTTTTACACAGCACTGTAACGGTTAATAATGCCTCTCAGATGCACTTACCTCGATGAGGACGAGGACGCTGGCGATGAAGACGAAGGTCATGTTGAAGCTCAGGAGCTCCAGCAGAGACAGAGGCAGGCAGCCTTTATCGCTGCACTTCTGTACGGCTGGACGGGTTCTGATAAGGTCCACTCGCGTTGCATCAGTTCCCTGAATGGACTGGCCCACTCTGTGTGACCACTGACTATAGTTTCCTCCATGTCTCTTTTGGACTTTTAGCTACTTCAGCATTCTTTCACTTGTTTCAGCTGTTTGGGTATGAGAAAGTTCAGCTCATTTTGAGTGTTGCAGCTAAAACGTGTGGTTCTTAAACTCTACTGACTTTTTTTGTCCTCGTTGACATGCATTTAGAACTGAATCCTTCAAAATCCAGTGTCTCTTGTGCATTGTAAGGCCTGTCCTGCAAACCTTGAAACCCAGAAACCTGGGGTTCCATTCAGGCTGGACTGGTGCTACAGATTTGACACCAGCAGGCTTGTTGGCCATCGATTGGTTCGCTGGACCGGGGGTTACGTCATAGACAAGCCAGCGACCGCTCTTTCCAACATTTCCTTCAGCTACTGGTTTCGGTCTGGCTGTGTGATGGAGAAAGCTCCTATATACCAAGGCAGAAGATGACCACCGGTGTCCTAAACAAACGACGAGGTGCAGCTATTGTTCAGCTGAGATTCACGTGGTCTTGCTATGGCCACATCTAGGCAGCGCTCTGCTGAAAACAAACAAAACCAGAGCCGGGGAAGACTGGTACAGAACTGACTGTGGCCGGTCCAGGCCAGACCGGGCTTTACAATGCATGAGACATAATGGGCCAGACATACTTCATCCAAAGCCAAACGACTCACGGTCACGTAGCTGCAAGACCTTTGTTTTCACACAACTTTAATCATCCACAAGACACAGATGCAGAGCTCCAGTGAAGCCCCGCCCCCTGCAGTAACGTCACCGCGGGGGGTTCTCCCTGCCAGAGTCTCCACTCCATCCCTGTCTCCACTCCATCCCTGCAGCCGCCATTTGGACACAAATCTATCATGAACAGTGTTTCCCACAGATTACTTGCCTTGGCAGGGCGCTCACCTTGTCCGTGATTTTTCTCAACTTGGGGAGTGTGTGTGTGTGTGTGGGGGGGGGGGGGACACGTCTGTGTTGCGCAATGTTTTCGAGCGTTGGGGCGGGGCAGACGACACAGCGTGAGGGAAACAAAGCGCTACAGACGTAGTATTTTAGCTAGCGCGTCTGAATTGTGCGCCGCGGTTAGTTAGTTTTTGGTCATTTGACTAATTTAGTGTTTGAAGAGTCGTGCAGCTGAATGTCCGAGCACATCGACGAACAAGCACACAACTTCTGACCAGTCACGCAATACTTGGCGCATACCCTTGTGAGAAAAAGTTTGTCCAAGGCCTTGAGTCGAGAAGGGGCGGAGCTACTCTGAGAACAAAATGGTGCAATTTCCGTTACATAACTACGCCAACGAGAGCCGATTTCTGCGCCTTGGATGGAGTATGTCAGGGCCTTAAGTGATCCTTGGAATCTACTTCAGCACATTTTCTCTACCTGTGTCTCCTGATGCTTCCTTTTGTCTCGTTTGTTTTGTTTTTTTATGTTTCCTTACGTATTCACCAGCGCTCTGTGTTTTCAGTCCATCAACCTGACTTCTATTTTCACTATCACCCAACAGTTTCACTTTCTTTAGCAGACATTCAGCGCTCACCCTACTTGATTCTTTTGCAGAAAATGCCATTATTTCCAGCGGGAGCTTCCTTTTACAACATTTCAGCAGGGTATGGGTGAACGATGGTGCATCGGTGAATCTTCTTACATTTAACCAGCACAGCTGAGTTAAAGGATACAATCAGCAACCAGAGAAAACTTGATTTTAGTGAACAAGTGGACAAAGAAGTCCACGAACAGGCCAACCTGGAGGAGACAGAGGAAACATTTTATGTTCATCTGGGACTCGATGGAGTCGAGCTGAGCAGCATCTCTGAAAAGTACTGACCAGACCAACTGTGACGCCGATCACAAACACCATCATCCATCGCACCGCCTCATACTTTCTGGCTTTCTGTTGGCAAAACAAAAACTTTTTTAGGCAGAAACCAAACAAGTGCAAACAAGAGAACAAAAGAACTCTTTAGCTTCCCTCACCTTGTTATCCAGACCCTCCAGAACCTCCACATAGGGCTCATTGATGCAGCGGTCGTAATCCAAACTCTGATAGAAACCACAGAAACACGGTGAGTCGGCCACAAACTCCTCGTACTGAAAGCAGCAGCAGATACTGCTGTGCAAAAGTCTTAATCCAGCCCTCGTTTCTTTGAATTCTGCTTCTAAAGACCCTGACTTACAGCTCACCCTTTTGTTTATCAGGAGAACAATTTTTGAGCTGATTTTATGTTGTGTATTTACTTTCTTAAGTTTTTGAGTGGCACTACATGCATGTTTTACTCTTTTTATCCATCTTAACTGTAAAGCACTTTGGTCAGCAGTTGTTGTTTTTATGTGCTATAGAAATAAATCGACATTGACAACACTTTTCAATTTAACAACCTTTAAACAAATAAATTGCCTAATAAGAACACCACATGCAGCACATTATACGCCCATCAAGCTAGTATACAGCACCCTATAGCAATGGTCTGGACAAGCAAAGGCCTTGTATAAACGTTGACCTTGGTTTTTGACCTTGACATTAGAGTTGGGGCGCTGAAAAGATTAGACAACTTGCTGTCTAGTGGTGGTACAAACGTGCACCAAGTGTTGTTAAATAATCTTGAGTGAATCAGAAGGTGTGGACCGGACAAGAGAAAGCTTACGGACGTACAGAGACTTCACCAGAATACGTCCGCCTTCCAACCAGTGTATAAAATAATAATAAAAAATTAAACAAAAACATTTTGCTGAAAATACTCTGAAAAAACAGCCAGCTTAGAAATAAATAATTAATTGAACTTTGACAGCTTCCCAAAGCATGGAAAACCATCAAACCACTTTACAGGGAAGTCTGGCTCATTGGACAAAATATTAAAGTCCGACGTACTTCACGCCAGAGTTGTAACCATTCCTAACAACCCATGAAAGTAGCATTCTGCCTGATCTCAGAGGATGTCATGCTCGTGTGTGTGTGTGTTGTGCTCAGCTACTACCACACCACATTCCAGCTCAGCATCTGCAAAGCAGACGGAGTTAGAGCCGTGTTTGTGGTTTCTGTAGGCCATCCTGAATCAGGTTGACTCCACCAGTTTTAGAGGAACATCCAATGATTACTTTCTACAAGTTACATTTAAATTCATCCATTGGCTAACTGGGTATTTTGCTAACAGACGGGTAAAAATACCACTCCGTCATGGCCTTTGGTGGCAGGTGATGAAGATGGTGTGAATCTGGATGGTGTTGCACCATCAACCCCTCTCACCTCGTAGTCTTTCCTGGGCAGAATCTCATCCTCTTCATCTCGAATTTCCCCCAGAATCGTCTGAGAAGATCAGAAAAATACTTTAAATACACCAGTGAACACAAACACAAGCAGACAGGAGAGACGTTTAACACAAAAAGGTAACTCCGTTTAAATATCAAGTCCAGCTGTGAGGGGATGAATTCATAACACAATCCACATCATGGTTTGAATTCACAACACAATCCACATCATGATTTGAATTCACAACACAATCCACATCATGTTTGAATTCCCAACACAATCCACATCATGGTTTGAATTCA